GAAGTGAGGTCCGCAGAAGCGGGTGATTTTTTCATAGAAGCGAAAACGCTTCTGCGATGGGGAGTCCAGAGGTGCGAAGCTTAGCCTGGATGAGCAGATGTAGGCTAGAGGCCACAGAAGCGGTCTCCCAGCTGCGTGATTTTGGTCGCAGATGCGGCTGGTCGGGTGTCTAGTGTTTTCTGCAGGTGCGGACGTGCGACCGCAAAAGCGGTTCCGCAGAAGCGGGGGTCATGACTGCAGGTGCGGTTTCGCTGGAAGAATAGATATAAACGAGGGTTAGAGTATTCTCTTCATTTTTGGACTTTGGGAGTTCGGATTGAGGCAATATTTTGAGGGGTTTTCACCTAGATTGAAGAGGTAAGTGATTTATTATCACTTTTGTCCATGTATCTTGGATACCCATTAATTATTTCACCTATTTATCATGAATCTAAGTTCGAATTTGTGGATTTTTGACCCATGTATTGGAGAGTAAGATTTGAGGGTTTGAGGGATGATTTTGCTATGGTTGGTCTCGTTATTTTATGGGTATTCAGATTTTATAAATTTTATCTGGTTCAGAGGTGTGGGCCCGGAGTTGACTTTTTGAATTTGGTTAATAAACTTAGCTTTATCGTATGGAATCGATTCTTATAGCTTGTATTAATTATATCAAGTTGTTTGTGACTAGATTTGAGTCGTTCGGAGGTCGATTCGCGAGGCATGGGCTTGTTGAAGTTGTGATTAGCACGGTTTGAGGTAGGCAAAACTTCTAAACTTGGTACTCGGGGTATGAATCCCTGAAGTACTGGTATGTGGTTGGTGTTGAGGTGACGCACATGCTAGGTGACAGGCGTGTGGGGGTGCAGCGTGGTAATTGTGACTCGGCTAATTCTGTTGTACTGTGTAGTTATCAAATATTGTTGATATACATGAAATCCTATGAGTTAGAGTAATTGAGCTACGATCCATGTTAGAATCATGTTTATGCTAAATGCTTATTCTGTTGGGACCCACTGAGATCATTTCTGATGTTGAGTTAGTTGCTTAAATTGCAATTATGTACTCAGTAACAATCATCATTTGCATATCATATCTCAGTTTCTGTTATCATTTATTACTATATCATGTTATCATTGTTTGGGCTGTTTGGCATGAGATTTGTATGCCCGAGAGACTAGAGAGATTGATGACTGAGATGGGGCCTGAGGGCCGGCTTGTGAGTGATATTTATGGGTTCACGCTACACGCCGCAACAGGCTTTATTGACACTTTTATGGGATTGGGTTGTACGTCAAAGCATGCCATATTGGCTTATATTAGTGCTTGGGAAGGATCCGCCCCTCCGGAGTCTAATATACCAGCAGTGAGCGCAGGTACCTAGAGTGCTGAGTGATTGAATATGTTGAGTGATTGAGTGTGCTGAGTGATTTAGAGTGCTCAATGATTGAGTGTGCTGAGTGATTTAGTGTGCTTGGTGAGATTGAGTACTCCGAGAGTACAAGTACATGAGTTTATCACTGTGATGCACTACATATGACATTCATATTTTACATTTAGACATAGAGATGTAACATTCCTCATGCTAGCTATACTTGGCATATTTTATCCGTATGGAGCTTATATTGTTGAACTTGAAAGCATGTATACATTTCTGTACTGTGTACGAATTGATTATGGAATTTCTCTGAGTTATTATTGTCATTTCCCTGTTATATCTATACTGTCATTATCTGGATTCGGACTGTACCTTTCTAAGCTCATCACTGCTTTCATCCTAAGGTTAGTCCTGTTACTTATTGAGTACATTGGGTCGGTTGTACTCATACTACACTCTGCACTTCGTGTGCAGATCCAGGTATATTTGGACACGGCGATTGCTAGACTTGGTGCAGTATCTGCTTGGAAACTATTGAGGTAGCTGCTTTGATGCCCGTAGACCTCGACTCTCCTTCCTTTTAGTTTATTTTGTACCGTTCTATCTTCCAGACAGTTGTATTAGAGATTTATACTGTTGACACTTAGTAGCTCATGTACTTGGTGACACCCAGATTTTGGGAATTTTATAGTTGTGTCACAGTTGTCCTTATCAATTATTTATGAAATTTTCACTATTAAACCTATTACATCATGCTTCTAATTTAAAATGCGTAGTTATTTTGTGATTATCAGCTTGCCTAGTAATGTGATACGCGCCATCACGACATGTTCACATTTGGGTCGTGACATATTATGTATATTGTCTGGGCGGAATGATACGGGCGGTTATTGTGTATATTGTCTGGGCGGAGTGATATAGGTGGCTATTATGTATATTTTTTGGGCAGAGTAATACGGGTGACTATCATGTATATTTTTAGGGCGGAGCGATACGGGTAGCTATTGATATATTATCCAGGCGGAGCGATAAGGGTGGCTATTATAATATTGTCAACGTAGTGAGATAAGGGTGGCTATATGGGGATGTTATGTGATGGCTTGGGGCTTGTTGTTGATGAAAGATAAGTATTCTGGTTGTTGCTTTTGACTTCCTTGTGTGTGTCATACATATTGTGTGATTTGTTGTGTTATTCCTAATGTGCTACTCGGTGTCTCTGATATTACTTGATGACTTGAGATGTGGTAGTATACTTGCACAAGAATACACCATAGCATGTCATTTATACCAGTCCATGAGTAAGAAACTTGATGTTCATTGATCATACACATGTATTCTTGCACACCTGTTTTCTCTGCAATGTGGTTTGGAGTGGTAGCTTATGACCATGCCGGGTAGATTGTGGTATTGAGCCTGTGACCATGCTGGACGGATTGTGGTATTGAACATGTGACCATGCCGGACGAATTGTGATATTGAGCCTGTGACCATGCTGGACGGATTGTGGTATTGAACATGTGACCATGCCGGACGAATTGTGATATTGAGCCTGTGACCATGCCGACTGAATTGTGATATTGAGTATGTAACCACGTCAGGCGGATTGTAATATTGGCAGGTGAGTTATCCGTGTAGCATGTGAGTTGTCTGTGCGGTTGTGACTTATATTGTGGCACGAGGTCTTCACCGTACGGGAGTGATTAATAATGTGGGCATGAGGTGCCATGTGTATAAGATTCATGATTTGTGACTTGAGATTTGTGATTATGAGGTGTGATACCTCGGGGTGACTCTTGTTGTAACTCCTGTATCGCAACGATTTGATGATTAGAACTGTCATTTTTTTTTCCTTAACTGCTTTCACTTGTATTTTATCTGTGCGTGACTATTTTGCAGTTTTATCACATGATTTCTCTTTATGCTATTTATTTACTTTGTTTTTCGTTGTTAGCTTTATATTGAGATTCTGCAAAGGTTATTTGACTAGTAAGTACCTGAACTTGAACCTCGTCACTACTCCACCGAGGTTAGTCTTGATACTTACTGGTTACCGATCGTGATGTACTCATACTACACTTCTGCATATTTTTGTGCAGATACAGCTGTTGGAGGCAGTGGTTCAATTCAGTGTTAGCTTTTTGATCGCGAGAATTCAAGGTAGAGCTGCTTGATCGCTGCAGTCCCTTAGAGTCCTTTCCTTATGTTTATACTGTCAAATCTCAATCAGAACAATATTGTATCTTTATTTTTGAGATATTTCTATGTATTCAGCTAGAGTGCGTGACTCTCTACTACCTAGTCGTGGGGATTCATTGTGATTATCACTGTGTTGTCTTGTATAACCTTTACTTCCGCATTTATATAAAATGTTGCTTTATAATATCATGATTAACTGGTTTAACTGTTGTAAGTGGTCGGCTTACCTAATTTTAGAGATTATGTATCATTACGATCCTTAAGGTTAGACTTTGGGTCGTGATAATAGTCTTCTAGACTGACAACGAAAATGAGATTTCAGTTGTGTTCCTCTATCAGATATTGAAAAGTCATAATTATATGATTATGAATAGTAAAAAATGAAAATATTACCTTATTGGCCTAGATATTGCTTTAGGAGTCTAAAATGGTAATGTGATTACCAAATTGATCATATTAGCCTTAGACGATTAGTTTAAACGCTTAATTAAGAAAATTATTAGTAAATTGATTTGAGAAAAGAAAATGAAATAAATTTAATTGTTCTCTGTTCTCGCCACCATAAAATTTGAGATATTACTTGAAAGTATCGAAAAAATGGGTGCACCAGCTAGATATTACTCATAATATACTAGAGGTATATGTGTTTGGCATAATGGAAAATATTGTACGCGCAAACCAATTTTATTTTTTTTTGGTATTCAGTCAACTTATATTGTGAAATGGGGGAAATACTTTTAACCAAATAGGCGATAATGGCATCTCTCAACGCTATGTCGTCAACCTTAGTTAAAAAATATTATGATTAATGTGCAATTCACATACCTTTTCCTACTTCTTGTGCGATTACTACATATCAAGAACTTTTTTAAAAAGACAAATACTGAAACATAATCCAAAAATATTTTTTAAGGATATAAGTAACATTTTTCATAGGACATACTTTCCATGGAATACATTTTCTACCAAATGCACCCGTGTCACAAGTTAATCATATGATCTTCCTATAACTCCAATAACATATACAAGGAGTATGATTTTTCAAATTTCAATTTGAATTTATGATTTTTCAAATTTCAATTTGAATTTCAGTGACTAACACATTTTTAAGAAAGTAAACAATTTCTTTAGAATCAGTTGCTTTTAATCAGTTCATTTCAGATTTTACCAATTTAAAGTAAAGCAATTTCCTAAAAATCAGATTACTTTAAACCAGTTTATTAAAAATTTTACCAAATTAAAGTATAGCAAATTCTTTAAAATCAGATCACATTTAATAGTTTACTTTAAATTTACCAAATTAGCTCAATCAACATGAAATTTCCTAATTTGACTACTTTAACAATTCATGTTAGCCATCTATAAAAGCCACACACCTTCAGAAGTTGGTACTCAATCATATATTCTACTCCAAAAGTAAAGGCTGTTTTATGTTTGGGTGTCAGATATGGCTAGAAAGAAGCTTAGGCATACTAGAATCCGTAGTGAAAGTGTGAGAAACTCCATCCTAAACAAAAGAGCAGCAAGTTTGTTTAAGAAAGCAGAAGAGTTTTCTATTTTATGTGATGTAGCAGTTGCTGTAATTATTTTTAATCAAGGGGAAATTCAACCCATTGCGTATCCATCTATAACTCAGGCTAAGGATATATTAATGAGCTATTTAAGTTTTTCTGAGGCCGAGAGGCTTAAGAAGTTAGTTAAACATGAAACATATCTTTTAGAAAAAGTTAATGAGCAAGAAGAAAAAATTAGCAAAATTGAGAAATTGAATGAGGGGAAGGAAATGGATATCCTATTCAACCAACTTGTGGAGGGAAAGAATACTAATGAACTTGATGCTAGACAACTTAAAGGTCTGTTAAAGTTGTCTGCTGCTAAGATGGCTAAACTTAATGAAAGAAAGAAACAATTCAATCAACAGGATCAACCATCTGAATCTCTATACCGTCCCTCTGATTTCAAGCCCGTGTGCGAAAATGTTGCTAATCAAACTAGTGATTTGCAGGATTTTGTCCCAGCAACAAATTTAATGGAGGATTTGATTAATAATCCGTGGTTTGTTGAGAATATGGCTGCTGACCAAAATGAGTTTGGTACAGAGTCTGCACCAGAGGAAGGCAATGACAACAATGCTGGAGATGATGGAAATCCTGAGGACCTCAATTGAGATAATGTAATACTTATGTTGCTCAATCATTGTTTTTCATGTTGCTTTTTTCATAGTCGTCGTCTTAATTGTTGCATTTTTCTATCCATTTCATAATCATTTGATCCCAATTTAATTGGGACTGAAGCTTAATTATTATTGTTGTCGTATTATTGTACTATCTTTAATTTATTTCAATTATCTATGAAGGTTATTCTATTTTGTTTGAAAACTAAACTAATGTTGTTCTCTCAACCAAGTTATTTGTGTAAAATTTTGGACTATGTTGAATCTTTATTTCTAGTCATTTTCTCTTTCCCTAGAAACTTATTTTATTTGACACAAAAGGCACCCCACGTTCAATGTTAAATTCTTAATGATACCAATTTATATGTACATTAAGTTATATGTGAATGGAATAGAGAAATAGTTATTTAGTTTTATAAGGTAATTGTTCGCTTTAAATAAAAAATGAAGTCGATACAATTCAATAGAATCTAAGAAATGATTTGCTCCATTTCATATAATGATAACTCTTTTGCTTTCTTAGCGCTTCACGCCCTTTGTATATTATGAGCAATTTTGGTTGGGTGCCTTTCTCTTATAGGTTGACTTGACAAATATTTACTGAATTAACTCGGCGGTTAGAGTATTGCTTTCATACGGTGAAACTCATTGATTTATCCATATCTAATTAGGTTAAGAATGCTTGCAGTAATGAGATCATAACAACATTTTAGTCAATTATTTTTTTCACCTAAATTTTTTCAAAGTCGGACGAGATTAATATTATCCACTCCAAAAATCTACTTTGGATCTCCTATTGTCATTTGAATCTTAAGACTTAACACCACTACAACCAAGAGATGTAGTGAGTTGATTAAAATCTATTCAAACTTAATTAAAGATCTAGTATTTGAGCCTTAAAATAGAGAATTTGTTAATAAGAAGCGCTTTATCCTCCTTAGTGGATCTATCTGGCGCAAATCTGGATTAGTCAGTGCCAGTAAGTTTATATTAGAATTAAACAAAGATTATAATTAGTAACACTTAATTTATTATGTTTTAGTATCTTCTAGTTTTTTTAATCCATGTCTAATTGAGTTTCGTAGTCCAGTCATGCACTTAAAGCCCCATAAAATTTTATAAGTTTTTAAGACTCAAAGTGCGCCAACGATTAAAAAGAATAGTTTTTGAGCCAAAGAGGGCTGCAAACTAGTACTGTAAAGATCCGACTAATCGTTTTGAGTTTTAACATCCCGTTCACGGTTTGAGACCTTGAATAGCTTCATATGATGCACTATGACTTGCGTGTATGATTGGTTTCGATGTTCGAGAGGTTTGAGATTTATTTGAAAGAGTAATTCTCAATTTGGAAGGTTTAAGTTGGAAGAGTTGACCAAGATTTGAGTTTTAAATAAACGACCGTAGAAACAGGATTTAATAGTTTTGATAGGTTCGTGTGGTGATTCTGTACTTAGACATATGTTCGTATTTAAATTCAGATGTTCCTAGAAGGTTTGACTCTATTTGCCGAAATTAGCCAATTTGAAAGATTGAAGAGTCCATAGGACAGACCGGAAGTTAATTTCGGTATTATCAGACTCCTATTATACTTTTGAGACCTTGGATAGGTTCTTTAGTTGATTAAAACTTGTGTTTCAAGTTTGGTTGTGATCTGAAATATGTGTGATTCAGACGATTCGGCGAAGTTTAAATGTTTGAAAGTTAAGATAAGGATTGATCTTGGATTCTTGATTTTATTGCTGTTTTTAATGTTTCAAGTCTTGGTATTAGTGGATAAGGTATTTGGACATGTTGGCATGATTGGACGGGTCCCGTGGAGATCGGGTCTATTTCGAGGTGGTCTCTAACCATTTCGGTTGAGTTTTGCGTTACTCATTTCTGGTGTCTCTTATGAGCTTCACGATTGCGGGATGTGCATCATCTCATAGAGTAATTTGGGAGTTCGCGGAGGGCTACGGGAAGGAGCATCGCGTTCGCATGCAGGGGGTCGCGTTCGCGATGGTGTGGAGTGAGGCAGAGGTTTTTCCTTCCCATTCGCGGAGCAAGGCGTGCGATTGCATAGGCTTGACAGACTTGGGCAACACGTTCCCCTGAAGGTCTTTGCATAGTGTATCTAGAGCTGGAGGCTTGTTTAGCCTTCGCGATCGCGAAGGTACTACTGCGATCGCGATGGAGGAGTTCTGGGCGAGGCTTGTTTGTGCTTTGTAAATGTGAGACTTGGGCCGCGTTCTCGAATGGTATCCCAGGAACAGACTATTTTAAGTGCTTATTTTGGGATTTAGCATTCTTTCATATTTTGAACCCTGGACTTTGAGAGAAGGAGATTTAAAAGAGAAATTTTACTATTATATTAGGTAAAGAATTTTCACTTGGATTTGGCTTTATATATATTAATTTTCCATAGATTGCTACACCTAATACTTGGAATTTTAAAAGTAAAATATGGGATTTTTATCTACACTTTAAAAGATTGTATTTTAAGAATTTGAGTATGTAACGACCCGATCGGTCGTTTTGAGCATTTGCAATTCGCTCGATAGTTTGATGGCATGAGTAGCTCTATATGTTGTATTACGACTTGTGTGAATCGTTGGTTTTGATTTTCAGGCGATCCAAGATTTATTTGGTAGAATGATGCTCAACTAGGAAGCTTTAAGTTGAAAAAGTTGACTGAGTTTGACTTTTGTGTATTTGACCTCGGATCGGAGTTTTGATGGTTCCGTTAGGTCCGGATAGTGATTTTGCACTTGAGTGTATGTCCGGATTTGTATTTGGATGTTTCTAGAAGGTTTCAACACTATTTGGTGAAAGTTGAAAATTTAAAGGTTTGAAAAGTTCATAAGTTTATCTGAGCGTTGACTTCGATGTTATCGAGTTCGAATTATTATTTCAAGAGTTGGAATAGGTTTGTTATGTCATTTAGAACTTGTATGCAAAATTTGAGGTCATTCCGAGTTGAATTGATATGGTTCGGCACGGGTTTTGAAAGTTGAAAGTTCAAAAATTCATTTAGTTCGATTTGAGTTGCGATTCATGATTTTGATATTGTTATGTGTGAGTTGAGGCCTCGAGTAGGTCCGTGTCCTGTTTTGGAACTTGTTGGAATATTCGAACGGGGTCCCAAAGGGCTCGGGCGAGTTTCAGATGTGGTTCGGATCATTTGGAACTCATAGGTTAATGCTGGTTTTGGCTAAGCTCTGGTGTGACCGCACCTGAGGAAATTTGATCGCAAGTGCGGCAGGCATAGCGCAGAAGTGCTAATGCACCTGGGAGCAAGAGATCGCAGATGCGGAGTTGGGTCGCATCTGTGGTAGTGTAGAAGCGGATCTTTTGGGAGCAGAAGCGGGGCATTGCATAGGAGCGGCACAAGGCTCGCACCTGCGATGTCGTAGAAGCGGAAATATTTCCGCAGGTGCGAGGTGTCGGACTTAAGTGACTTTCTGCAGAAGCGGAGGTGGTATTGCAAAAGCGACGCACCAGGTGCGGCATTTTGTTCGCAGGTGCGAAGATATCTGGGCATAAGTTATATATCGAGGGCTTGGTTATATTATTCACATTTTGATATTTAGAGGTCGGTTTTGGGCGATTTTTAGGGGATTTTTACCACATGGATTGGGGGGAGTATTTTCTACTCGATTTGGTTATATTTCATGATTCTATATTTGATTTTGGTATTAGATTGATGATTTTGAAAGAAAAATTGGGGGTTTTGTCTAAACTTTCCTAAAGTGAATAATTGAGTTTTGAACATTGATTCAGAGTCAGATTTGAGTGAAATTAGTATAGTTGGACTCGTTATTGGATGGGTTGTCGGAATTTGTAAGTTTTGTCGGGTTCCGAGGTGCGAGCCTGAGTTTGATCTTTTGGTTGACTTTGAATTTTTGGTTAAAGATTCGACCTTTATCGATTGGGTTTATTTTCTTTGGCATTATTTGATGTTTTGAGTTGCTTTTGGCTATATTTAAGTCGTTCGGAGGTCGATTTATGCGGGATGGTTCTTATAGAGTATTGTTTGACTTGCTCGATATTTGACTTGGCTTGCTTGAGGTAAGTATCTTATCTAAACTTGGTTGAGGCACTAGATGCCTGAATTATTTGTGATAGCTACGTACTGTGGGTGCGCATATGTGTGGGGTTTGATCCCATGAGCAAGCACCGGGGTATTTATCCATGCTCGGGGTAGTGCTTAGGCTATGATATGCCTAGAATTGACTGTTAAGCTTAAAGCTATAATGTTTATCATATTTTCAATATTTTTGTGAACTATTTGAGCCATGTTTGAGGTTACGAAGAGACTAATTCCCTGAATAAACTTGGTAATTGTTATTTCTGTGATGAACTTGCCGGTTTGAGCTATGATAGCACACTTTGCACATGTCTACAGTTTACCATGTTATTATACCCGTCCAGGGAGCATGAATTTCGATATTTATTCATCATATAAATATCTTCTTCTACACTTGCTTTTATGTGATATTATTTGGACTGGATGCATGTGACCACACCTGATGGATTGTATTGTTATGCCTGTGACCATGCCGGACGGATTGTGTTGTTATGCATATGACCATGATGCGCGGATTATGATATTGTGCCTATGACCACGCCGGGCGGATTGTGATATTTGCACATGAATTGTCCGTGCGGATTGATTTTATTAGCACGTGAGTTGTCCGTGCATCACATTAATTGTCCATGCGATTGATATTATTAGCATATGAGTTGCCCGTGCAGCGTGTGGATATGGATCCATCCCCTAGGGTCATCCTCTCATGTTTCTCTCTTGATGGTGTACACGTGGATTGTGAGAAACCGACGGGTTTCTGGTTGATGTGAGCTCTTCGAGAGCTGGTTATTGTTATTGGGTTGGGTTACGCGCCGCAATGGACATATTTACTTGCAATTTCCTTAACTGTCTACCTGATTTACTTGGATATCTTCTTTATATGTTGGATTGTTGATTTAGTAGGACACTTTAAAACAAAGAATTTTGA